AAAAGCAAAAGCCAAGAGAAACCGAAACTGAAACTGAAACTGAGACCCCAAATGGCAATTGCCAATTGGCAACTGGAGGGCTTGAGCCACGTCAGAGACCGATAACACACACAGACACACACATTGCTTGGGGTCCAATTGGTCGTTGAACACGTTTTTCAATTTGCAGCTAAAATAAGTATGTGTGTGTGTGTGTGTGTGTGCTTGTGTTAAAGTAAAACAATGAGAATTTGTTGAAATTGTTGTTGCTGGCAGTATCTTTGGCATATTCTTGACCGCCTTTTGTGCAATAAAGTGGAGCAGCAGCAACAACAACAGCAACAAATGTGTACACAATTAAGATTATTTATTAGTGCGGCTGCTGCTGCTTCTCGAGGATCCCATCTTCAAGTACAGCGGCAGCGCAATTGGCCTCAACAGTAGCCAAGACTGAAAACATATTCAAAGATGGCAACAGCAGCAGAGGCAGCAGCAGCAGCGGCAGCAGCAGCAGCAGCGGCACATTTGGCCATGCCTTTTTGGCCATTTGCCAGCTACTTTTGGTGGCTGCCACCCAACAGCACTAGAAGAACAAGCAGCCGCAGCAGCAACGGCAACGGCAACGGCAGCGGCAGCAAAAGAATAACAACATCACGTTGTATCCATCTACAACAACCTCGGCCAAGTTGGCTTTGGACTAAAGCTTATTTATGTGCGTTGGCTGCGAAATATGGCGCACAATTTTTGGTTTTTGCTTATTTACTGCAGTCCACAAAAAGAGCAGCCAAAAAGCTAATTGGGTGGGCGGCACAAGTGCCGGCAGCAGCAACAACAACAACAACAACAACAGCAGCAACAAATTCAGTCGAAGCAGCCAAAAGATGCAATATTTTTTTTTTTTTTCTTGCATATTTCAGATAAAAATATTTCTTTATGCTAACAAGCAATATTTACTCTCTCACTCTGACTCCTACACACGCTCTCTCTTTCGCTTCCTCATTCCTTTGTGCCAGCAATTTGGGCCACATTAAAGGCCAAATTATATGGAAGTGCAGTTATATAAGTATGTGACTTAACATATGTTATGGCATTCTGCACTGTTGAGCTTAACAACATTCTGTTATTTGCATATTGAATATCGATAAATATCGACAGCCATGTAATTAGAGTGAGAGCTTAAATTAAATTTAAATATATAACATAATTGTATTGATATTTTTCTACAATAACTTTATAGAGCTTATAACACTGACCAAATGCATTCGTATTCCACTTCTTATAACATCTCTGATCTGTGAGTGCAACTGCACTGGAATAATTTCTTATTTTCAGCGCCCGACAACCACCTGCAACTGAATTGCTCTGAATATTTACTTAGCCCGATTGACGGCAGACAAAATGGAGAGGGAAACAAATAAAAACCGAACGGTAGTACCAGAAAGAGAAAGAGAATGAAAGGGAGAGGGAGACAGAGAGGGAGACAGTCTTCACATTCACATTGCTGTGGCTCAACCTAACTGCCATAATAAAGATTGCAAATGTCTCTGATTTGTAAGAGGTTTTCTTTCTTATTTTCGTCTTGCGCTTATCAAAAGCTCAGCGAAGAGCGCAGCCTGAAAAGGCGAAAGAATGTTGAGCCAAATGTTTGAACACTCAGTAGAGCGCAATGATAAAGGTAAAGTCAGTGAACTCTCCACACAAACACAAACACACACACACACACGCACACACACTCAGAGAGAGATGCTTATCAGTATATTTTGGTAGCTTCAGCTGATAATTGTCAAAATATTTTAGCTAATTTGCCGTGGGAAAATAGCTAAATAATATATATTACATATATTTATAGGTATATATGTATGTCTAGGCAGGGGAATGCCCCAAATGAATGTGAATAAACTGCCATAAAATTCACTTTGATGTATTACCCTTAAGAGCGAGAGAATTTTCGTACAGCTGTTGATCTGCTTATTAAATGCGTTCGGAGCGCATCTTTCCTACCGAAATTAATTAAGGAATTGTCACATCAATCAGGCGCCCACTTGCCGACTGCCATTGTGCTTGTTTCACAGTTGTTGTTGTTTTCAAATAAACAAATAAAATGCAGAAAATAGATTTACGAGTGTCGCGCAATTTATGACAGATGTAAAAATTGTCAGCGCTTTTTATGGCCCACGTTTTTGACGCTTGACTGAAGTCTGAAGAGCCGCCCGTCCCGTTGACTGACCACCAGCTGGCCATATCCATGGCCCTGACTGACTGTCTGAATGACAGCCCAGTCAGTTAGCGTGAGAGAGAGAGAGAGAGAGAGAGAGATGGAGAGAGCTAGCGAGAGGGAGAAGGAGAGTGAGCTCATCCATTCCCACCCACTGCTGTGCCGTCTATCCATTCTCAAGGCAACAAAGTTTAAAACACTTGCTTCTTGATAATGAGAAAAAGTTCTTTTTATATTTTTCTTCTCATTTCGTTCATTTTGCGTTCTTCTTCTTCTTTCTGCTTTGTGCTGCATTCGAGACAAAAGTCTTGATGATGATTACAATGATCCTTGGGCTTGTAATGAGATATGGCCAAGGCACTTTCCTAAGCAGCATTATATTTAAACACACACACAGTTACACGCACACTGGCACATGCATGCATATACGTGTTTCTTGCAGTTTTCTTTGTTACATGCACAGGTCTGCCTTTGCCTCGTCTCTTCTATTCTTTACTTTGCTTTCAGCTTTACAAGCTTTTGTTGTTATAAGTTCTTCGCTGGAAAGGCTACTTCTCGGAAATACTTCTAATAATATTAATTGGTCTTGAATGCTTTCTTACAGCGCTTAATCGAATTGGTGCAAAAACCATATAAAAATACATACATACATGTATACAGTCATGCATATATAAATATAAATACAATTAGTTTTATCATTTGATAAATTTCATCTCTTAACGTTGCGTATACATAATATTTCGATTGCATAAGCTCTATGAGTGTGTAAGTTTCCTGT